AAAAAAAAAAAAAAAAAAAAAAAAAAAAAAAAAAAAAGAAAAACCTCGCAACAAGACAATCGAGACTGCCATCATTTTCTTTTCGAGTTCATCGTGACCTTCTTTTCTATGTCGTTCTTTGCGTCTTGTCACGTCCTACTCGAGTTTTGACACGCTCTTTCTCGAGATTCGACGAGTGTGCTCGTATAACTCCAAAAGTCTCGGACGCATCGATCATCGGGAAGCGTCTGGTGATGCACGGACGATAATTCGGAAAATTATGAGAAGCCGTAAAGTGACTTGAACACTTAAGAATCGTGAGAAACGAGTTCTCGAGTTTCCCAAAATTCCCCCTCACGTACATCATGCATATTATAGTATCGTTCGTTCGATTAACTCTTTTATTATCAGCAACTCGTTGAATCTACAAATTAATCCGCGCGAGGCACTTGAAGGCATTCTAAAGCGCACGAGTTTCTCTCTTTCGTACAAAAGAAAACATACACACACACACATACACTCTTTCTTTCTTTCCTTCTCTCCCCCACTCTCACGCTCATGCCCCCTTTCACTTACTCTTCCCGCCGAAACTTACGGCGCCCGTACTCCCACGCTTGTGTACGCCCGTTCATTCACGCAGACTAGACACAAGGGAGACAGCCGTCTGTTTATGCTCTCTCTCTATCGAGAGCCGGCATATACATCTTCCAATGAAACTCGCGTATGATCGCGTGTAATGAAAAGAAAAAATAAGAGAAAAGCAGGAAACATCCGTCCGACAGTCTCTGGCGCGGAAATAGCCGCGAATCGACCGAAAATACGACGACATGCGCGGCACGAAAGACGACCGTGAGAAAACATCGAGTTGTGACAGACGGGCCGTGAGATTAGTCTCTCGCGTTTTCTCGATCTAGTGCTCACGTTTGTCCACGACACACGGCGAAGCATTGAGAGAAGCGAGAGGAAATAAAGAACGACGGAGAGGAACGGAGAGGTCCGACCGTCTGTCTCGTTCCGACACACGGTCAGTTCTTGACAGATGGGAAGCTAGAAAGAGACAAGCAGACGGAGAAGGAGAATACACTGTCCACTGAATGGGAGGGAGAAAGAGAGACAGAGCGCGCGCCGGCGAGCGAGTGAGCGAGCGAACTATCGGATGGACGTTCCGCGACAGACGAATGAGCAGCAAACACTTTTTCGCGGGTGATTTACACGTAGTCGCGCTAACGGCGTCACAGCTTACCGTATACTCGACGCTAGCGTAGAAACACCGTTCACCCTCGCCGCTACCACCTTCACACATATACATTTACGGGCGGGAGGCGCGATTTTCGGCAGCGACCATGTATAAACGGACACCGAGACACGGGGCCCCCTTTACGGAACTGAGGCACAACGTTGACACGAGCAGCAGGCCCGTGGAACAAAGACCACGCACGATTTCAAATCCCGCGGCGCGGATTGGCCGGTCGCGGTCACGTGGCCGCGGCAGCGAGCGCCCTATTCGCCAACCGTGGCAGGGGTGTGAGGACGTTTTGAACGATGCGCCGCAATGCACATGGCTGACGAGGATTCGGACGATTTTCTCACGGTGCTCCTGGAGACGTCGCGCCGTCGATGACGGCCGTGCCGACGCGATCGTTCGTCGCAAACGCGTCGGGAGCGTTTCCTCGTGAACGACGACGTCCTGATCGACGACTGACAGGCGGACTCGCACCCTAACCCCCCTTCCCCAGGCGAAAATGGCCGAACCCAAACACAACACAGCGCGCACGAGAAGTCACTCGCCGTGATGATGTGTGCCGTTGTATCTTGACAGATCACGCGGTCCAAAAGCGGCGCGCGACTTTCCCATGACGCGCCAGCGTCGGACCGGTCGCGATTTTCGCTGCGGCAATCATCGGACGATCACCGTCCCCCGAAAGAGAAACGAACACGACGGGCGAGTCCATCGCGCCACTACGGAGGGGAGTCTGGCAGCAGCGCGTTAAGAATGAACTACAATACGCGCGATAATGGCGGGAAGCACACACACACATACGTGACATGTAGACGCACACTCACCGCCTCACACATACATGAGCGCACTGGAGTTTATTGACTTCGGCCAGGTATATCGCACTTGTCACGTCGCACTCTCCGAGTCGGCCTCCTTGTCGTCGTAAACATCGCACGAAGCACTCTGTCTCTTATCCTTTTTCTTCACAATTTTTCAGCACGATTTTTCTCCCTGATGAAACTTCACCTTGAAGTTTTGAGTTTGTCGTTCGAATAGATAGATTCCCATTTCCTTATCTTTCTTGTATATACATATATATATAATATTTTCACACTTGAATCATAGACATAGATTTTCCTGTCAAGTTTCCTTCAAGTGCACCTTTGGGATTAATGCTTCTAGGTATATTTTGAGTATACCACAATTTACAAGCAATTACACAGCCACTGATCTATATCTTATACTTTACAAAAGTTATCTCAAGATAATCCTTCTTCTCATATAAAATACAATTTCTTCAGTTTGCTCCATGTTCATTTGCAGTACTGCTTCTTCACATGTATCCTGTATTGAAAAATATAAATCTTGCTGGTTTATCCTTCTGTTGGATGATTATTCTTCGATGAACTACATACTGTCTCTGCATTGACATCATCCTTTGTATGTATATCCTTGCTCCTATTTATTTCTATCAGCGATGTGATATTTTTAGGAAATTATGTATAGTCCTTTTTCTATTAAAAGCATATTGATATTGAGTTCTGATTGACTTATCAGTAGTAGTTAACACAGTTGTATATTTTTGCTTCTCTCACGTTGCATCCTTCAATGACATATAGTCTCTCGAAAATTACATCTTTTCGAAAATATTAGAACCTTGAAATTGCACAATACTGATATGTAAATATGATGGATAAATTGACTTGCTTCGTATAATTGTATATGTAATTGTGAGTACACTTGAACACTTGAAGAGTGAACTCAAATTAGCTGTTGATAATCTATTACTGGTGTCTTTGAATTATCACAGTATTGGTACACGACGTGTTTCTGCCTGAACATGAGCCAGTTTTATCAGGATATACACATCTCTACTCCATCTATAAACGTCTACATTTTTCAGATGCTCGTTTTACTATGTAGTTTATCAGTGAAAGTTTCAGAGTTAGAAGGCTCACCTGCAAAATACAGAAAAACAAAAATTAATAATTATAATAGTATATTTAGTATATATTACGAACTTTTACTTATTAACAGATTTTATAACTTGACACATCGACGTAAAGTTAATTATTAAACAAATGTGTCCATGTAACATTATCATTAGCAGATTAGTCTGAAAGAGAAGAGGGTAAAAAAAATGCATAAAATGCTTACCAAATGTAAGTGAATATCTATGAACCTTCTATGCAAAAATCTACTGTTGGACGTCAAGACATAGAAAAGTCTGTAGAAAAACTATTTAGAATAGACTTTTATGATCTCGATGAACATCCAAATGAAGATAGAATACAACTATGATGTTTTTAAGCACACATAACACACTAATGTGTATGTTATCCTGTAAAAGACATAAGAAATTAGAAAATTGTAAAGTTGATTGATATTTTTAAATAAAACTACTAATTTTCTAAACAAAATCTATTTACAAAATACATTAGCATAGTACTTACATTAATTTTCGTAAGATTCATGTATTGTGTTCATGCAAAAGGCACTGAACACTTATTTTGTGTTTGCTAAATGCATCTGGATATTGCATTCCTGTATTCTTTGTTTGCCATGAGCATGAACTTAGGCTCACATATAGTCCCATTGTTTCTCTCTCTCTCTCTCTCTCTCTCTCTCTCTCTAAATTAATTAACAAATTATGAAGTTTCTGTATTGATAAGAATTAATATATCATATATGAATAGCATCACACACATGACACTATTCTTGTAAATAGATTTAGATTATATTCCATTAGATAATATTCTTTTTATTATAAATATTATTTATTATTAATATATATTTTTACACTAGGAATTATCCTTAGTATTCTTGTTAATATTAGAAAATGTACTTATGTACCTGTGCAATATCCATATGGCTGTTGAGGAGAATAAACAATTTTGTCCGTTCCATTGTTATCTATGTTGATTCCAGAATTGTTTCCCAGACAGATATATCATAAGCCACAACATATCGACAAGTATCATCTGAAATAAGAAACAATAAGATTACCAAATATGCAAGCAATTTTCAAGTATTATTTAATAAATTAGATTGATGAGGTTTTTTTAATATCCAGTATTAGGTAAATAGTAATAGTTTGCTAAAAGGAACATTGATTTTGGGCAAGTAATTACTTCATGATTGCAAGAACTAGAATATTCTGTAAAATTAATAATTTGTGAACAGTCTTACTTTAGTCAGTTTTTGTGTCACATATCAAACTCCGATTTTGGCTTCAAAAAATGCCTCACAATCATTAAACTTAGTATTCACGAATGGTATCACTATAGAACAGACATATTGCAAAGACAAATTGCCACTTTTTGGCAAAGTAAATAGCGGCGATTTACAACTTAATAACGCTACCATCGAACGAGCAGACGAAATGAACTCGAAATTCACGACAAAAGCAGTTTATTACCGAGTTCCTTCAATCTGGGTCACACAGCGTCGGGCTTCCTCGTCACGTAGCCGCAGCATCGTCGCGGCGATATGGTCCGGAAAACGGCATCGGGAACGATTCGGATGGACAGCGCGGGTCGTCGGCGAGCTCGGCCAAGTAGCTGCGACTGCATCACGGAAGAAAAAAGAGAATAGAAATTGATATAACAGTTCGCGCGCAGGGTGGGGCATGCAATGGCTGGATAGCGTCACCGACGCTATCTCCATTCTGTCGCTTCGGGAACGTTCTCTCACGCAGCCAGCGTCCTCGCGTTATCGATATCTCGCGCGTGACGAGCATCCGTCGACCGGCGTCTCATGGCTTTGTCATCTCGTCCGGATTCTCAGTAAATGATGCCACGCTTTCCTCTTGTTACTCTCGCGACGATACCGCCGATATCGCTCCATTCACGTCGCGGAAACTTTTCAAATCGCCGCGACTGACATCCTCGCGATCGTTGGAATTCCAATACCGGCGGCCGTGACCGACGGCGGGAACGATCTCGCCGATGTCCAAGTAACGAGCCGTGCAATTTACCTAACGAGGAAACGTGTCGTTGAGCGGACGCATCGTCGGACGGTCGCGGCGTGGTTTCGCTTCTGTCGCGCGTTACCAACTCGCTCTCTCTTACTCTCTTTCTCCACCTCCCCTCCCGGGCACGCTCGCTCTCTCTCACCCCTCTCTTTCGCTCTCGCCCTCTTCTTCGCTATCTTATCGCTCAAAGGCATTTCCGTACGAATCGAGCGCATTGTCGACTCGATAATTGAAAAATAACCGGCCCGTTCGGCGTGGCATTTGCGCGGCACCAGCGAGGCGATATGCAAATCGCACGGCGTGCAGAATCTGTTCAGGCGTCATTGATACCTTCCGGCCGCGCAGCAGGAATTCTCGCACCGGTTGCATCACGCTCCTCGACGTTCCCGCGTTACAAGCCGGAGTGATCGATAAGGAAAGGGTGATCTTGCGCCGTTCGATTGCCAGTCGCGATGCGAGAATGCGTAAACACGTCGCGCCCGATCGCGAGAATCATGGTTCGAGCCGGGACTGGTCGGCATAAACGACGCCGTGCATGTTCCTCGGCGAGATCGGACAGTTTCGCACGCTGGACATGCGTTAAAACGCGTATTATCAAAGTATCACAGCGGTCAACCGGGCGTTAATCCGAGTTCTCCCTGCGAAATGGGACGCGAGACAACGCGCTGCCGCGTACCGTGTGTGATCGCTTGGTTTTCTCACACTTACCCGCTTCATGCCGATAACATGAATTCCGCACGTGAACGCGGCTTCAATATTGAGATTTCACGAGTTCACGCTTCCCCGATCGCTTAGCGTCGTCGACGCTCGGCTGGAAGTATGTACAGTGCTTCGCTGACCCTCGCTAGGATGATTCAAAACTGACATGGCCAGCTGATGCCAGCTGAAGACGCCACGGAACATGGTACCGCACGTTGACCGCCTGCGCGTCGATTCAACTTGGATACTCGCCTCTTCGCGCTGTCCAATCCACGGCGTCGAATGACGTATTGGAGCGATACTGCTGCCCTCTTTCGTCACGCCGTTCAACTTCGTCGAATACAATTCTAAAGCTTCTCCGAGGATCACGATGGAGATCCTCTAATGTATAAGATCGAGGCCCATATTCTTGAAATATTTGCGTACACATAAAGGGACGTCTACATTGGAAGTAAATAGCAAGAAGTAGGAAGTAAGAGTAAGAAATTGACCAACCACAGTCGAATGTGAGAAGAATAATTAACTATGATTGGTCAATTTCTTATTTTTACTTCCTACTTCTTACTGTTTACTTCCAATGTAGACGTCCCTTTATTTTCATTGCACAGCTATTTTATAGTATGATTAAATCTGCGCAGTAAAACTTACGTATATGCAACTATTTCAAGAATAAGGGCCCTGTGCTGGGATTCTGTAACTCGTTATTGGAGTTAATGGGTGCGTTCAGAAGACACAACTGTTGCACAACGGTTGAGTAATTAGTCAACGTAATTGGTCTAAAGTTAGGGATCCTACAGTAAGGACCAATAATCACTGACCGCTCACTGATCAGCTATGTTTTCTGAACGCAGCCAATGACAGTTTCGTTATCGTTGCGCAACTTTTGTGTACCATAGAAAAGCTGCGCAATAATAACGAAACTATCGTTAACTCCAATAACGAGTTACAGAATCCCAGCACTGGTAAGATTCACGCCGCGTCTGACACGCAATCTACGACACGATCTAATATCCAATAGAAATTATCTCTTAAGGCTGGTTGGCTGATAGCCGTAATCTGTAACTTATGCCGGAACCGTAAAAAATTGACCAATCATAGTCAAATTATAGAAGAATAATCGACTGTGATTGGTTAATTTTTTACGGTTCCGGCATAAGTTAACGGATTATGACCATCATAAACCAGCCTTTAGAATTTGTCTCCTAAAGTTTCTAGCCAGCGACATTTTTGTTCCTAAAAAAGCAATTCTCCCATTGGATATCGGACATTGTACGTCGGATACAGTGTGAATCCTGCATAATCGATAGTCATTACGCGACTGTTCGACACGCCATTTTTAAGACGGAACTATCTAACTGCGACTCCATCTCCTGACACTGTCGGTAAAGTTACCATTTGGTGCGAGTCCATGATTTTCATGGACGAGAAAAGCCCGACTTCTGCTTAAGCATTGCGCAGTGATGTTGAAGATCATTGTACCGATTTGATCTTAACCCTCAACGCTGAGTAGTGGTAATATCTTAACCTCAAAAAATATATTTTATTTCAACAAATGTTAACATTTATTTTTATTTTAACGTATTATTAAACACATTAAATGTTTAACATGTTAAAATAAAAATAAATGTTTAACATATTTGTTGCAACATAAAATATATTTTTTTAAACACAAATACATATAAAAGAACGTTAGGTGTGTTAAATAAAAAAAAATTAAATTTCACTTTATATTTATTAGGTATAACTAAAAAACTATAATGTTTGGATTGACTGAAGATTCTTAAAAATTTGACAGTTCAGATCAAAACCAGCAATACTACATACAGCCCGTTAGCGTTTAAACATTCGCAATGGCCGGTATTATTTTGGTAAATAGTTCTATTCCCTTTAAAAACACATCCTTATTCAAATATTCGTTGGCGGCGTGTGCGCGAACTTTCGTGTTGTTTATTGACGAGAAATTCAAGACAGGAATGCCCAGCTGCAAAACAGAAATATTTTAAGTGTACTTCACTATAAAATAGACCATACAGCACAGTAATGTTGAATCAATGTTGAAAGAATGTTGAATTGTAACAATGTCAATATTGCAGCAACATTGAGAAACATTGAATCAACGTTGACAACAATCTTGATATACCCCGTGAAAAATAAGTTCAGATAAAAGCCAGATATGGATTTTGTCAAGATCCGATCAGATATAATCAGATAAACATTATATATGATTCAGATCTGTCTACGTATAATAATATATAGTCATATATACAATTATATATTATTATATGTGGACAGATCTGAATCATTTATAATGTTTATCTGATTATATTTGATTAGATTTTGACAAAATCCGTATCTGGCTTTTATCTGAACTTTTTCTTCCCGGGAATGTAAAAATGTTCGCGATTGTTGATTTTTCCTTGATATTTCAACGTCTTATTTATTCTTATTGTTTCATAAAAAAAACTAATTCCTAATTTTCTCATATCTTATAACTACTAGAAACCGAAGATTGTCAAACACACTTTAAAACTTTCGCGAATCCTCCCTCGACAATTTCGAATCCGAAGCGGTATGCCGGACACCCCATCTCCGTCCATCCTGACTGCGTTGCTTAACCTGACGATCGAGCGGCACGCTGATTTCAATGACTCCAACGATGTTCTTACAATTTATGCTTATAAAATGTATACTTAGTGTTCACAATATATTATAACGTAGCTAGCAAATACACGCGTTGATTCGTCTATCTATTTTATTTAATATCTCTAAAGTTTATGTAGTTATTTGCAAAATGACTTCGATCAGTTTAATGTTTTTTATGTATTTTTTGTTATACAGCATGCGTCAGACTCTATATAATAGAGAATATTATGAATTAAAAGAATATTCAGAGTTTGCGCAAATTTGCTTAAACACACTTCAATTTTACATATAAATAATAAGAAAAATACATATGATTATAGTATATTGTAATATAATATCCTTAACAGCACAGATGTCCAAGGGACATCCAGAGTACATCCTGAGGAAGTCCTGAAGACATTTCTTCGTCCTCAGAACGTCCTTAGGACGTTCTCAGGAGATCTTATGCTGCTGGGATGTATAATACATATATATTAATATAATAAAATTTAATATATAATTTATTTTATTATTATTATTATATAATAATAAATTTTTCTTTAATATTATCAATAATATAATTTTCAATGCTCCTCAAATATTGTTGCAAAAAATTGTACTTTTTGTTCAATATATATTCAACATTGCAGCAATATCTCGTAATCAATGTTGAAAAATCAACATAAATTCCATGTCGAAAAAACATCTACACTTCTATTTTCAACGTTCTATGCTGTATGGGTAGTTTAATATAGAAAGAACGTAATCAAAGGAACTCTCAAATTACGTAAGATAAGATGATAATCTATCTTACGTAATCTTGCTGAATTTATCGCCTCTTATCTTATCAAATATACGTTAATCACGTTCAATCAAATCAAAAAACAGTTTAAACAGCGCTCTGGCACCAGCTTTGCAATTGTTGCAAGATTTTCTTTGGCTGAACGACACTTCAGCAGATTACTCATGTCCGTCATAATATAAGTATGCTTTTAATAAAATGTAATGACCGCTTAAAAAACTCGTTAAAAAAGCATAAATCGTTAATATTGTTCAACGGAAAATCTTACAACAATAACAAAGCTCTGATTAAGCTGCTTTTTTTGCTGAATGTAACTATTGTTGATTGACAACATTGCGCCGCTGATTTGATAAATTTATTTTATCATCTCTTATCCTGGCAAAAATAGAAATTGGAAAGTAAATAAAGTGTAAACGAAGAGTGACGGAAGCGCTGTAAATGAAGCGTTTATACTTCCGTCACTCTTCGTTTACACTTTATTTACTTTCCAATTTCTATTTTCGCCAGGCTAAGGGTTTACTGGTGTCATAGTAGAGACCTTTCGCGAGATAGACAAAAGCATTTCCCGCTTCCTAACTAAAATACGGGTAAAATCACCTTATATTTGTGATATTTGTAATCAGAAAAAACATCTGCAGGATGCTGCAGAGCGAATTTTTGGAAAAAAGGTGGAAATAAAAATCGAATAAATTATTTGAATGCGCGTCCGTTACGCGGTGTAGCATCAACCCACGTAAAAACGCTTTGTAGCATCCTGCGGACGTTTTTTCTGATTACAAGTATCACGAGTATCCATATTTTGGTCAAAATATGGGAAATACCTTTACCTATCTTACGAGTCTCCGTGTGAAGTCTCCACTATGACTGTTGTAAATCCATCTTTTTTCAGAAAAAATCCTACATAAGACAAAAGATTAGCTTGTGACACGAGAAACAATTCAATGCATACCTCACGTAAAAAACGAGCATCCGTGGTAGCCATAAGAATGATTTGCTTGAGCTCACTACCGATCTCAGAAAAGACGTTTTTAAAGGGCACCCAAAATGGATTAGAGTCGTCGGTTTTTGTTCCCATGATTTTGGGACTTTTCAAACAGAAGAAATAGCTTACGCCCGGTCCGGCTTCCTCGCACCAGCGTTTCACGAGAGCTTCGAAGTCGTCGGGATTCTCTTGAGGCTGCAGACGAATGTCGAACATGGCTGTAAGCTCGACAGGTATAACGTTAATCTGCACACCGCCCTGAAAACGATAAATTCAGCGAATTCAGAAAAAACTGAATTTACCTCTCAATAACACCAATCACTTCCAAACATAACGGCACAATACTCTACTCTTTTATACAGCGTTGGGCATTAATCAATGCAAATTTTGCATCGATTAATAATTAAATAATAATGAACTTGACTAAAATAATCGGCAACTCAATAATCAAAATTAATCAATCGTCATATACCCAGATAGAAATGCGTGATGATCATGTTTCATCATAATGTGACTTCATTCTATGACTTCAATTTGATGCTTTTTTAAAGATCATTACGTGATTTCATGACATGAGTACGAGATGTGTACAAATTATGTTGAATGTTCTTGACATGATGTTGATTATTATTATTAAATGAAGTATTTTTGTGACATCATGACATGAAGTATATCTGAGCTACATATGAGCTCGCATCAATGTGTATTCTTGTCCTTATATTTTGAAGATATATGAGTACAACATGAGCTCAGAATAAACATATTTTTCTATCTGGGTATCAATCACAAATAATTTCATCGATTGATGAAATTAATTATTATTCAAACTTTGATGTGATCAATTATACATTGATAAGTCATTAATTTTATCAAACGATTAAACTATTCACCATTACATAACCAGTCAGAACCACATGTTAATTCAAGATTGATTCGACATCGATGAGGGTTAAATCAATATTGATTCAACGGCTCATCGATTATTTCGACGTCGAATCAATCTTGAATCAACGTTATGGTTCTGACTGGAATATATGACGATTGATTAATTTTGATTATTGGTTTGCTGATTATTTTACTCAAAGAGAAATTTTTAATTGATTAATGCCCAACACTGCTTTTATACTAACAACCCAGATAGCACGAGCTTTAAAAATGACGCATAAGATAACTTTAGGATGTCTTTAATTATGTTTATGAAAAGAATGTAATAAAAAGATGTATCATAAAAATGATTGAAAGGTATCTTAAAGTTATCTTATTCTCGTCGTTTTTATAGCTCATGCTGTCTGGGAAGGCATAATGTTTTATATATTTCCTTTATATCTTTATGTACATACGTATATTCATTCTTTATATATACATTTATATAAAGTAAGCAAGGAATTAAATTAACGTTTAGAAACGTTGACTTCATGCGCATTGTTTGGACATTTTTTAATAATATTGCATGTATATTTTGCGATATGATTTTTCTGAATGTTGTTTAAACGTTTTAAAAACATTACAAAAAATATATTTTTCAAATGTTACTTTAACATTTATTTGAGATCAATGCAATATTTTAAAAATATTTCTGACGATTAAAACGTTATGGTAACCCTATTTCAACATTATTGAAACTTCCAAATCGCGGTCAAAGTATGTTCATAATGATGTTCGAATATTAAACATTACATATTTGACAATATTACAGGTTCTTGAATATCATTGTAGTAACGTTATATTAATGATTTCTTGCTTACTGGGTGAATATTTCCGTTCTCTCTCTCT